ATCAGCGTTGTATTTAACTGTATTTTAGATAAGAACAATTTATAAGTCTGATTAGGTTTGCAAAGTGTTTGATAAGAAAATTGAAACATATTTCGTAATATGAACAAGATATAGAATATGTGTGTCTTCACAAAATCTTCTTTGTGGGCAAAGGTTTTGCGAAAAATTATCTGTTTCTCCACAAGAGCCATTCGCAAACAATTTTAACATAATCTAATTATAAAAAAATGACAATAATATCTTAAACCTTAAAAAATTGTTTTGTGGATAGATTATTATTTAATGAAAACCATACAGTGAAGTTTTGTTAATTCGTAGTGACTAAAAGGTTTTCTGTATTATTTAAAATACGAAATCTGAATGTTAAAAGTAGTCATATTTAACATAATTTAGAAAATAGTTTATATATATTGTGTAATATATTAGCATATTTTAATACACATTTTTAATTATTATTTTATACCTGTATTCATGTATAATCTTTAGACGAAAACAATGCAAGAGAATGCAAAGAAAAATGTTCAAACTTCGAAAGATTTTTTTTGCTGAATATATACATACAAATGCAAGTTACAATAAAGTAATCATTACATTATGATGCAAATGGCGAAATCTGGTGAATTAAAAAACGAAAAATGCTAAAAATCAGTGGAAATGTGTTTAAAAATTTCATTCATAATAAAAAGTATTCTATTATGTATTGGCATTCAGCGGCCGTATAATTAAGATTGCTGAATTCTGAGGTTTCTATCCAGTTTTGATCCTAGGCTAGGGGTTGGTTTTCTTAGATTTTCATATGATAATATGAATACGAGCCACTCCCTCTCAGAAAATCGTTTACTTTACGCGAATAGAGCTTTTATTTTCCGATATGACCTTACTTGCCTATCAAATGTTGTATCAATGTGTGTGACAAACGAATCTTCGTATAACGAGCAAATTAAGGACAGCGACATTTCTAGACTTTATTTATTAGACAGAGAGAAAACACATATTAAATAAGTTTTATTTCTAATCCCTAGCTTAATTAAGGGATTATAATCTAGCTAAGATATAAGCTAGGGTTATATCCCTAGCTTAATTAAGGGAGTTTTGATAATTTATCAAACATTGTTATAATTTTTTACAATTGTCTGTCCATTACTTCTTGTAAAATTTTGAAATTAATTAGAATGCATAGCATTGATATTATGGAATTGTTAATCTTGATAGCATTAAAAAAATAGATAGCGATAATAACTTTAGTATCTAAGAATACCACTAAGCATTCAAGTTACATAAAATTTATGCTGTTCTAGTAATAACGAAACGCATATAATAAATGACATTATAAATAGTAAATTCACGCATGTAAACATATATATTATACATCATATATTAAATATATGTGTAAACATTATATATTGCATAAGTTATGAGTACAGATTAAGGGTTTGAAAGATCAACTGCAAAATAAATCAGATTTGAAGAAATGCTTTGCAATTTACAATCCTTACAACGTTACTGAGACTTTCATATCAGGCTCATTGAATTCTCTTACATTACAGCAAACAAAATTTTAAACATTTGCACATTATAAAAACATGATTTTTTTATCATTTGATCAGGATTATGTAATAATTTTCTATTCTTGTGGTCCATGGAAAAAGTAGATATGCTTTTTTGGATTCAAAAACATCTCCAAAGGATTTAAACTAGAATGAAAACAACATAAAATTTTACACACGCAACTCAATCATTATTTTTTTTTTTGGTTAATAGCATCTCGCGGTAAAGGAAATTGTATTCTTTCGTTACGCGTCATTACTACGGCTCCAGCTTGGCTTTTTTGTGGGTCCGTGAAGTCGATATCGATACGAAACACACAACCACCAGTATAGCTCAAACAATTAATATCTTTAAAAAAACAGTTTAAGAAAACTGGGTTTTATCCCATATTTCCTTGCGATATTATTTGTGTACTGTGTACAGTCAACCCGTAAGAGCATTTTATCAAGAGAATCTTTTCTGTTTTACTGTGAATATTTTCGATGTCTTTTAATATCTCTTTCTCTGAAAACAAATCACATTTTCCCGAAAAAATATAAGCAGTCGAACGATATTGTATTTTTCCAAATAATGCTCCAAAAGGAAGCAATAAATCTATTATATATTAATATTAATTATTATTATTATAAGTTTATTATTGCAAGATTTAAATGTTTCAGATGAGGGAGATACGTTTCCTTTAAATAAGATACTTTTAATAATTTACTTAAAGTTGAGATTCTTTTAACAAGCTGATTCGTCCATTTCTTGTAAGTATTCCATCTTCCAGAAATGACAATTTCTATATTTAATCCCTTTATCATAATGACAGAATTGATTGGTATCTCTTTGCTACTGCTTTCGAAGTAGGTACTCATTTCTGTGAAACAAAAAATATTTTGTTCATAAATTACAGATCCACATAAGAGCTTATAATTTTTAGTTCGGCCTGGAGCTCGAATCTGAAACTGAAAATGGGATGGTTGCGTAAGTATTTTCGTCGTTTTCCCCCCATGTGTAACATTAATACTAGCCAGTGTTCTTTAGAACGCCTTCCACGAAGGCATCACTCGCCTTAGGCAGATATTCCTCGAATGCTTTGCCACGACGAGCGCTTTTATTAGACCAAAACCCAATCGGACCTCGTGTCCGTATCATGTGGTGACTCTGTATAACTTTTGGCTGATCGCACGGGCTCGACCCGGCGACGTATCTTTCAAGTGTCTGCCTTATCAACTGTCGACGGTAGGTTACGCGCCTACCATGGTCGTAACGGGTGACGGGGAATCAGGGTTCGATTCCGGAGAGGGAGCCTGAGAAACGGCTACCACATCCAAGGAAGGCAGCAGGCGCGCAAATTACCCACTCCCAGAACGGAGAGGTAGTGACGAAAAATAACAATACGGGACTCTTTTGAGACCCCGTAATTGGAATGAATACACTCTAAATCTTTTAAGGAGGATCAATTGGAGGGCAAGTCTGGTGCCAGCTCCAATAGCGTATGTTAAAGTTGTTGCGGTTAAAAAGCTCGTAGTTGGATCCAGTTCCAGACGGGTGGTCCGCCTACCGGTGGTTACTGCCTGTTCTGAACAGCCAGCCGGTTTCCTTTGATGATCTTCACCGGTTGTCTTGGGTGACTGGCAAGTTTACTTTGAAAAAATTAGAGTGCTCAAAGCAGGCCTGGTTGTTAACTACCGGATCGCTGGAGGACTGGTATTTTGGAGGTATATTGTACATTGGAGTTTATGATAAAACAGAGAATCGATGTACAGTTTTTTAAAGTACTAGCTATATAAAACTTTTGGTAAGATGTCTATTAAATTACAGAAGTTTAATGTATCATAAGCACATAGTTAAGGTCTCCATCAAGTCCTACTCTGCTTATTATGTAAGCCCCGTTTCTTGTACACAAGTAGACTATTAAAATGGAAAAAAAAAGTAATTCATATATTAAAATTTAATGTTGGAAATAGTAAATATTTTAAACTGCCTATATTAAGCCAAATAAGAAAATGAATGCATTTAATTTCTGCAGAGATAAGTGTTGTATGAACAAAAGAAATGTGTAACACTAATGAAAGAAAGGCCATTATTCTGTCCGTACGTACAGACCTCGTGAAAAAAGTCGTCCAAATGGATTCAGAAACTGTCAAAAATGGGCTCACGTTCATTGATATCTGACACCTGAAATATTTCCTGATTACAAAGCTTCCTTTGCTTCATACAAGAAAGTACGAAATCTTTTTTTTTTTTTTTTTTTCAGTTTATTTACAAACAATTATTTCTATAACGTAAGATTTAAAATAAGTACACGAATGAAATGAATTTTTCAATTCTTCAAATGTATAAAAGTTTATGTAAATAATACAGAAAAGTAAAGGAATAAATTAGTCGCCAAGCAGTACTTTTTATATAGACACAAATTTTAGGAAATTTAAATTCACTTAATCAATGATCTTTTAAAGTTTAATAAACTTAATGTTTCGAGTCATACTTAATAAGGTATGGCTCAAAACCAATCAATGCAAAGCACAGTGAAGTATTTTATTTTGTTGCTTGTTTTTATGAATACGAAGTTCGAAAACTATTGTTAAAGGCTATATTTCTTTAAATACTTGTTACAGATATGTTCTTTCAGTGCCAAATTTTCTCAAAATAAGATACAGATTTCTCTGAAAAATTTAAGTATGCATTATATGATATCTCTTTAAATATAAAATTTAAATATTCATATGGGTATTGTTGAGTAAACGATCAAATTAGTAAAATGCTCATAATGCATAAATCGTATAAAATCAGGAAATTTAACTTTTACGTTAAATATGCACAAAGACAATCCATAAACAATAACTCATACAAATAATTTTCAATGCTTACTGTTTAGCAACTGTGGCATGATATAGGGAGAAACGGCTGATTTGTTTGACGATTAATTGCTCTGAATTGGCTAAAAAAGCATTCTTTATGAATGATGTGACTGAGTAATATTTCTGAGAACTTTATACAAAAATATAAAGAATATTTCGTATTTAAATTGCTACAGCATAACGAAAGGTTTACAAATCTGTCTGTTTACTGTATGAGAATAATGAAAGTTTTATGTTAAAAAATTAGCGACGTCCTCCTATTCCGTTGCTAAATCAGTTTTTATGAAATGCTGTATGTAATTTTGAGAAAATTGCTTTAGGGTATTATAAGGTATTTTATCCCTCATGTCTGCATGCCTTCGTGGTGTAACGGTTAGAACATTGGGCGCATATACGAGAGGTCTGGGTTCGAGTGCCGGCCAGAAAATTGCTGATTTTTGATGTCTCCTGCTTCAATATAACGTAATGTCTCTACAGAATTTGCCTAAGATAGTTAATAGAAGTACATAATTAGTAAATAAACCTAAAGCAAATCCCAAATCACGATAATTTGCATCTTTAGAGGTATTTATTTATTTACAAATATCAAGCCTTGTTAAGAATTATACAGTTTTATCTATATTTCTTTGATTGTAACAATTTTGTATTTGAGATTCACATCTTATTTTCCTTTTCTTTCAGGGCAATTGTTATATACACGTGATTCACCATAAACTGCCTTTTCAAAATTTTTGAGGCGGTGCTTACGTCAAGTTTTTCCACAACTCAACACTAACGCATCAGTAATATTATATCTGTCTGTATTTTTGGTAATATTTATTTGGTCCTATTTTTGGCATCTGGCTTCAAAGGGTACACTATTCGCTTCTTACATGTCATTATAGCGTCTCTAGCTCCAACCCATAAGTGTGGGCCTCGCAGTCTGTATTGGTACGGAACACATGGGCCCCAGTAAAGCTTCCAAAATAATCTAAAGTCAGTAAAACATAGCTGGAGTAAACTGGGTTTTACTCCAACGTTTGATGCTATGTCATCCAGGTACTGCATCCAGTCAACCCTTAAAGTCATCTTGTCGCTTGGTGCGTATCTCTTTACATTCTTACGGTGTTTTCTTTCAATGTCTTTCAACATCTTGCTTACTGGTGGTAAATGTCCTTTCCCAGCAAAAATATGAGCAGCCCACCGACACTGTATTTCATTAATTGGAAACATAGATCCAAAAGATACTACAAAACCTATAATTGCAAGAGTTGGATGTTTCAGATGTGGAGGATACATTGCCTTGTATAAGTTTATTCGTCCGTTTTTTTCTTGGGTAACTATTCCATCTTCCAGAAATGGAAAGTTCCAAGTATACCCAGTTCCCATAATGACAGCATCTATTTGTACTTCTTCGTTACTGCCTTCGAAGATAACTCCTGTTTCTGTGAAATGGGAAACATCTTTTTTCTGAATTACAGAGCCGCATAATAATTTGAAGGCAATTTCATCGTTAACAATTGGATCTTTTGAGAGAAACCGATATTTTGGAGGTACATTATACAATTTGTGATCAAATTTCGAATCAATATACATCTTTTCAATAAACCAACTGCAAAATTTAACTGGTAATATATCTAAAGAACTGTTTAAAAAACGTCTTAAGAGCGTATAATCCATTGGATATCCTCCAGGTCCTACTCTGCTTAATATGTAAGCTCCACTTCTTGTACTGAGGTAGACCTGAAAATTAAGAAAATATATTAGTTAACCTGGTTTCATGGCGAAAGAGAAACACGATGCGCGAAAGTATAAAGGAAGATATATAGTTAGATATTGTAATGGTAATGTTACTATGCATTCGTAATGGAATGCAAATTTCTTTTAACTAAATAATATTGCGATAAGTGCCACTAATTTTAACATGGATAGTTTTCATTTGTCATGTTCTTACTGTAATCGCATCCTTCGAAATTAAATTATTCGCATTATTTTCACCTCTAGAGTTTAGTTCCATAAAACTAGGGAAAGAAAGGTGGTAATATCTGAGTAAATTTGGTAATTATATAATTTATTTAAACGCTTTTTTTCTTCAAAATAAAATAGAATATTTTTCTTCACCGACAAAGGCATACTTGAGTTAGTTTTCGTCATAATGTATAGGTTTATAAAATAAACCAAATTTAATCTATGTTTGAATTTATTTAATTGTAAAAGTTGTGAAATATATGAACCGAATATTCATATTGCTTTAGTGTTTTTAATATTTCGTATTCAAGTGTAAGTTTCAAGTATATCGAGTATTCAAGAGCAAACCACGGAAACCGAATATTTACAGTTACTTTATTCTGTTGCTGTTAAATAATTAATAAAAACTGTCGTCATTAAAAGCGTGTAAATATCAGCATTTGTTAAAATTTCAGACACAAAAGTAATAAAAATAAATAAACGCTATTTTTAAAACGTGCTCTGAAAGCTTTTAGGCGTATATTCTTTGAAAAATATTAATTTCAATCTAAAGTTTTATGCCCTTATCAAAAGTAATGTAACGCTACGTCATTTCTCATTAGCATTTAAATTTAAATCTGTTTCGAAATCCTCCAAAGCAGAAATAACTTATTTGTAGGATAATTTAAAACGAAAGAGGTATACGTAGATTACACAAAAGGTTTTTTTCTAAAAGTCCAACAAAACTTGTATATGCTAGTTACACAACTGGTGCGATTTATCTCCATCTAAAATTACCTGGAATAAAGAAGGAGATAATTGTATGAGAACGCAGTTTTTGATAATCAGCACATGAATTATTTATCAAACAGTATTTATTACACATAATGCATTTATTATTAGGGCATTTAATGCATGACATAATCATTGTATGTTTTCTAAATGCTTGGTAAGATAATGAAAAAATGTGAAACTTGCAAGAAGCTCATAAAATTATTTCCAAGCTATTTTAGATCAAAGAATAAAAATCTGCGTTTGATCAAATATCAGGGAAAGGTTTACATTCTAAATAGATAAATAAAGATTGAAACTTTTATTTTTGAAATCTTGATTTATGAAAGATACATTAGACAGTGTAACTAAAAGTTCAACCACCTAAAAAACATAGAATCTATTAATTAAATATATTGTTAAATGTTCTAGAACCGCTCACGTTATAAAGTATTTTCTTCCTCCTTTCAGCATGCCTTCGCGGTGTAAGAGAAGCACGCTTGAAGCATATTTGGGAGGTCCGGGTTCAAATTCTGGGCGAGGTCATTTCACATCTTTCACGTGTCTTGTTTTAAACAAAAAAACCCTCTGCAGTGGTGACCGAACTAAAAGGTGGTGGACAATAATTCGTCACCACAACAATTTGGCGATTGTGCCCCCTAATCCCCTGCCACCCTTTAAAAGGCGGAGTATATAAGGTATTTTCTCCCTCCTTCCAGCATGTCTTTGCGGTGTAAAACGGTGCACACTCGATGCGTATTTGAGAGGTCCAGGCTCGAGTTCCGGCGAAGGCATTGTTCATTTTTCACGTCTCCTTATCCAAAATAAAATAATGACTCTTTCACGTCTTTTGCTTTAAACAAGAAATCCTAACGACTCTACAATGTGATATTCAGGTAATAGAATATGACCACACGTTTCATTTAGTGTAAGTTATTGATCCATTTAGAAATGATCCATGAGAAATAAATAAAATTTTATTTGCCTTTCTTATTATTAAAATAGACACAAACTCGAAAGAAACTATCTTCAACTTATCAAGCCATTTCGTTTCAATAAATGTAAATTCGTCTTTAAGACTCCTCGGAATCTTACATATTGATTTCAGGTAATGATATGGCCAAAAAGTCAGAGTAATAGTCATAAATTCAGTCATAAATATAGAATCTTCTTCTTCAGCAACAGGTGTCATTTGCACTCTTACACCTTTGGAAAAAGTTCAATATTTAAACATTCGAAACTAGTTCTGCAAATTTACATATATTACGCTGATTCTTGCTTGTGCTATTTCGTGCATTAGCACTTTCAATGGCCATTATTTGGAGTATTACTTTAACCCAGGACTATAATGCATTTATTTCGAATGCAAGAAATACCAGAAAACTTTATATTAAAATGTTGTTGTGAATTAAAGTAATATAACGAATTGTATTATTGTACACAAATATAAAAATAATTTAAACTACTGGCCAAATTCTTTTACTTTCCTGCTGCTGTTATCATTAAAGTTTAATCACTCAGAATTAACGAAATTACAAAATAATTTGCTTACTGGGAATTGTGAACTTAAAACCAAAAGCCACAAATTTCCAGGTTAAATATAAGGCGTAAAATCCAGAAACATAAAACTTATTCAGCAGAAGGTGTAATAAAACAGAGAAAACGTAGGACAGAACTCAGTGACCAAATATATTTAAATTATAAGTATCGTCGATCAGAGTTTTGGTCTTCGGCTTCATTATCACTGATCCTTTAGTTTTATCTCAGGCTTCGTTAACAATGAGCTCTGGGAGCTCATTACAAACTCAGTGAGAGTTTTGCGTTTATTCTTCGTTTGAGGCTGACGATAAAGCAGAGATGGTTTTAGACTTGCTAATGACTACGACATTAAAAATCAGTTTTCATAGCTCATTTAATGTTACTCTTTACAGAAATGTCGTGAAACCTTTTCATATTTATGAAAAAAGACTGCATATTTTTATGCTTCATATATATTGTTTTCACACAGATTTATTTTTTGCTTTATTTTAAATGCTCATGAGCAGAGAGAACCTTTTTTTCAATGAAAAACGAGTATTGTAATGTCTGCACCGCTTTTATGGTAATAATTAATATTATACCATTTGGTAATTTTTAAATCACATTAGATATTACGACTGAATGTGTATTTACAAATAATATTTTATCCGAACTTTTTAATTTCCTTTAATTAAAAAAATGAAGTAGAAATTTAAAAAGAATGACCTGTATATGTCTAATGAAAGGAAAAAGTGTACGAAACTAAACCTAACACTACAAAACAAAAGCGCTCATTTTTATATCACGTGCTCTTTCCATTCAGTTCATCTGAACAAGAATGGTGCCGCTGTGATCACTATCGTGTTTAATTTTCCTGGCTGTTATATCGTTGATCTCAGATTCGATTCCAGGGGAACGCATACGTGTTTGTTAATGGAGTGTGATTGTGCGGCACTCAAAATACAATTGAGCGAAAAGTCCTCTGAAATTGTTGATGGTAGAGTAAGAAAAATGGAAGACCCTCAGACCACCTTAAGGGTTATTCTATGTCAAAACTAGGTTGGATCTTAACAGCTAATGCGGTGGGTTTACACTTGTACGATCAACGATGAAACACCTTAATAAAATGTGTTCTAAATTAGAAAGCTTACCAGTTAAATAATTCATACTCCAATGTTATAACAGCCAAAACATAGGCCCCTCATTAGAAATAATGGATGCACAAACCTTGTTGTTTTAAGTGGGTGATCTCATCGTTTCAGCAATTGCGATCTTAAACACAGAGCTCAAGATCACGCTTCAAGGCAGCAAACAGAAAAATAGCATCGATCCCACTCATAAGAGCTCAGCACATAAGGAACCATCCACAATTATACTACGAACCTCTACAGAACACAGACCTCTAGTAACCTGAATAGCATTTACGATTTATTCACCGATATCAAACTCGTCCAGAAAATATTTGTCGACGTCAATGCTGCTAAATCCCTAAAGCAAGTCAACGAACATTTAGTTCAAATTAAAAATGCCTGCAATAATATAGAAAAGTTAATAACGAAATCCAACGTTTTGAAAAGGCAGGTGACAGGTGACGGAGGACGGGGACGCCTGGTGTTTAACAGGGGTAAGCAGGCATATGTCCCACGCCTTCCACTAACCAGATGCAACAACTCCCTGGAGCCGCACAAGGCCGCACCTGGAGCTTATTGATATTCCATTCAGATTAAACATGGCCATACAAGGGCGACATTGTGCTACATTGAAATTTGATGTACATTTGTGGGTGGGGCAGTCTTGTTTGTACATTAAACAGAGCATAAACACACATGAAATGTGCACATAAATAAATAAATAAATAAATAAAAAAGAATACATGAATACTAAAATCACCTATAACTTTCAAGACACGTAGACACCTAAACACTTAAAGACACTTGAGAAGGTACACAAAAACAATTAAACACTTAATACAATACACAATACAATATGCAATTGAGGTAATACAATGTACAGTGACAATATGCAATAATAAACGCATATAATGCAATACTCACATGCTCAGAAGATACGTAACGCAGTGCATATGTACACAGTACACATTACGCAGGACACATGAGTGATAATCTGAGATATTAGCATGTTAACGCGCGCAATGCAATAGCGATAGTAGTGTACAATCAATGTGGCTGCAGAGGTAATACAATATGCAATAGAGGTAATACAATATACAATAATACAAAGTGCAATAATAAACACATATTATGCTGTACTCATATGCACAATTGATACCAGACGCAGTACACAGATACATGGGATGCAGTACGTAGGACACAGGATGCAATGCAATATGCAGCGGAGGTAATAATAATATACAGTAATACAGTAATAATCACATATAGTGCAGAATTCATATGCATATAATTTACATAACGCAATACACAAATACACAGAACACTTTACGCAGGACACATATGTAATAATCGGAGATATTAGCATATTACGCGCAC